CTCAGTGAAGACGATTCATTGTTAATTCTTTTATGAAACTTGTCATTTGTGTTTGCAAATAATAAAACCTACCTAAGAATTTGTCAAAACTTAAAAAGAAAACAAAAGTAGTTGTGACGTAGAACAGTAAAAGTACCTATAAATAAAATAAACATTTTAGCTAAACCATCTCTAGCTTAGAAAACACTGAAATATGTGAAACTATTCAATTGTCATATTGTTTAAATCCTAAATTGCAAAAGCATAAAAATATTACTATCCAAAAGGAGCAGGTAAATGACAAACAATAAATCTTTATTTCTTATTATATTTGAACTTGTTTCATCATAAAAAAGGTTTACGTGTAAATAACAATCAAATCGTGTCTTGTAAGCCAAGTAGACCTTGGTCAAACGAACGTATATGTATATCTAATACTCACTAAAAGTGCCGACAACTGGGGCAAAGCAGTTTAAGGAAAAAGCTGTAGAATTTCTTTTACAACTGCAATATTACTGGCAAATCTATTTTCCTGTGTGGCTTCCGATTCGCAACGTTCACCGAAGAAAAACTTTTTCGCATTTAGAAAATATGACGATTTCATTTCTCTACAGAAAGTAATATTTTATCGTATTTGTAAATCGGAAAGGCAATGGATTTAAATAGAGTAACTAGAGGTATATATATAAATGAATGCTTTAGAAACCTTTTTTACACTTTTTCCTTTGCACAACCTTTGACATCCATCGCTATGACCATTAATAAGTCACGTTTATAATTGAATCAAAAGTTTACGGACAAAAATAGAATGACGTCAATTCTAAATTTAACGTATTTAACAAGAAAGAGAAAAGTCTCTTCTCGTTATTTTATTACATCTGAATTTTGAAAAAGTGGGTAAGAAATATGAAAATAAAAAGTTAGCGCAAACATTTATGGCAATCCGAGAGCGCGTAAAATATGTGCACGAATTCTGATTCTATTCTAAAACAGATTTTGTTTGCGGTAACCTGAATACTCTGTACACCAATTTCAGATTGCTTCCCCACAGCAAGCGAGATCTGTACACTGATAGATGTGCCTATGTAAAACTAATTAACACGAAAGCCACCTATGTATACAATAATTTCGATAACAGGGACGTTTATTAATTATTTACGCTAATTAATGAAACTTACATCACAGTTAACCGCAACCAAAACCATAGTTTAGTACGTAATTGAAGTTATCAAACAAACTTTAACAATGTTGGTTAAAGTCAATGCTGTGCCCTGTGACGATGTCTGATCGAGATACAAACAATTTGGTACACCTGCTTTTCTCTGGTCATCAGTGCTTTTAGCCAAACGCCACTTTAGCGCTTATCTACATAGAGGGTAGAAATCAAAATGGGGATGACACTGACATGTAGACGTGTCAAAATTTACGTCAATTCCATATTATGTAATTTGGTTTTCTATTCTACATGTAGACAAGCGTTAAATGGCATTTGGCTGCAGCTGCAGGTTATCTTGTCAAAAATGGACAAAACAACGCAATTACGTGTATTATTATTATTTATGTCTCTCATTCATCATCATAACGTATGCTCATTTCACCGTAGGCTATTTTCAAATCTAGATTCATTTCTTTGATGTATATTTAATTATTCAGCTTAATTATTATTATTAGACGAACCCTGTTATTATCCAAACAATCAAATTTCTAAAATATTATTATGGAAACAATTAAAGTAACTACTATGGACTACTATATTACTAAAATAAATAATTACATTGTCTCCTCTAATTTCCTATCCACTATGGCTATAAAAACATTAATATAATTAAGTTTTAGTGCTAACAGGATCATCAATTTCAATAGGTAGTGCCGAAACTTTGTACATAAAAGTTGTTTACATAAGTGAAGTCCTGATTTGTGTGTTTATTGGGTCATTGTATAAGTCAAGCACCCTAAATACCAAGAATTCGTTGAAAAACACTTCACCAAACATAACCATAAATGATTTAGGTTACTTTACTACGGCAACCACTTTTAGGTATTTATTTAAAAATATAATATATAATGAAAGTTCATTGTTCTAGATGTTCACAAATTATTAAATCACTATGTTATGAGCGACATCGCCGCGACCGCGCACGCTGCTCATGAGGACGAACCCCTCTGTGGTTCGAAACTAGTACCTAGAGCTTTTCTCAGTATATTTATTTACGTGAGTAACCTGCGATATTAGTTAATTTGGTATGTTTCATGATAGATATTATAAAAACACACAATATTATCAAAAAACTTAAAAATAAAAAAATTTACTTGTTTAAACGCAAAATTAAAGATAATGCCTTAACAAGGCCTATTATAGACTTGGTGATGACCTACAGGATAATCCATCTAGTAAAGAATTAACACATACCTAGTCATTTATACCAAGGTTACGAATTAATTGTATAGTAATATAGAGGTAGTATTGGAAATACCAGGAGATCAAGTTAAATAAAAGCGTGTAAGAATTAATATTGACATAAATGTAAGGTTATTGATTGTTATATATATATATTTATTATGTTATTATTGTTACTATCACCAATAAAATTGAATTTGACAATTTTTAATTGCATGGCAACAGGTGAAATTTGGGGAACTATTATTATATCTGCTTCATCCAGTATTATGAACTATTGAACTTATTACTTATGTTTCAAATAAATAACTTTGACTTTGAATTTGAAAAAAGAAACCACAAAATCGTAATATATTATAAAAAAACATCCTGTGATCAAAACTGACGATTCTTACTCGAAGATTCAATAACAAAAGCCAGCTTCATCATTTAGCTAGGTTTATCAAAGGTAGACATCCCAACGATCCTCGATACTCTAGTACCTTTCATTGTCCCCCTGAATTCCGATCAACGCTATGTGCAAGAATTTAAGGCTCAAAATTTATCGCATAACATTGCACCCGTTAGTGTGAATTTTTGCATCGCTTTCCATAGGAATTTAGCATTTCTCTTCACATTGTTTCTATATTTGCTGTGACGCTGTATAGACTAAATATTTAATAAAAATTGTATGAATATCTTGTAATCTGTTTTCCACTTTCATTTTCTTTGTTAAGTAGGTTGCGATCTAAGTGTTATGGGATTTAGAAGTGTCTTATGTTTATAAGTGTGTTGGGTACTAGGTAGGCACTTGTAATTGGAGTTACGTTACAAGTTTCATATATTTAAGCTCGATAACCAAGACTGATGATTTCTGAAACTATACAAATTAGCTGTTTATGAATAATGCCGGCAACATAATAGTTACACTACATTGCAAAATAGATAAATAAATCAAGGGTAGATTCTAGCCACAAATAATAAGTCACCACGTCCCATTACACGGATTACCTACATTTTTATATTTTTGATCAAAAAATGGGTCGACTCTTTCGTCACAAAATGAAACGTCAACCGCTTCACGCTGTCACGAAGCAGTTAGAATAAATTGATGATGAGGTACGTAGACAGAATATTTTCAGAGCATAAAACTACTACCTAGAAATACGCCAAACATGTTATATTGAAGTCTAAGGAAAACAGAATGGAACACTTTAACCGTTTATGCATTCAATAGATCAATTTGAATATTGAAACACCACTTTGACCTGCGGAAATATTCTGCAGAATTAGAATACACTTTATGTCACGTTCACAAAGAGACAGTTTCCGCCTACATAGGAACTCTTTTGTGCCAGCTAGCGGTGCAAAGTATGTGTGAAATTTGCATACAAGTATGAACAGGTTATCGTGTTCATCTCTCTCGGGGTAACTTCTGATCTTTGATCCGTGCATCATGATTCGATCAAGATTATGCAAGAAATACAGTGTTGCAAACATTATGCCTATTAATATTGGGAAAGAGCTACCCTTCTTTGTTTGATCATCAAACATCAGGGTAGCTTATCACATATTGTGTAACAGTAATTATAGGGATTTGCTTGCATCAATTTGCAAGCAACTGTTAGTTTATCGCTAATAATTAATCTAAGCCTTATTCCCTAAACAATAAAGGGTAGTTGAAGTATAGCCACACAGCTGTATTGTGCTATACATATAATTGATGTATCTTATGGTGCTTTTGTATTTATTTTACCATTCTGTGGAAGCGGTAAACCAATGACCTGAATTATATCGCTAGTCATAGCCGCTCAACGGGAACAGCAGAAGAGATAATCCACGTGTAAGAAAAATAAATGTAAATGTATTTCAAACAGGAGTTGATTCCTATTTTCCTATTACGATTAAGAAATCCTGGAGGAAAAATATTTCGAATTACCTTCACATATTTTATTATAAATCATATTTATCTTATCGAAAAATATTTTTCCTTTTAAACTCATTGAACCATTACTTTAGCTACTGCTAAAAACTTGCTCTTGAGCCTACTGGCTCAGACATCCAAATAAATTAACATTTTTCAGTATTATCAGAAATACAACAAGTTTTTTATTAGTGTTAAATTAAACAAGCCAGGTATTATGCCTAGTAAAGGGATAAAATTTACACGTAGTTTATTAAGGCATTATAGACACAATTAAAGAACAATAGGTTGCGGTCACCGGTGTCCTCGCGGTGTTTGACAGTTTAATTGATACGCATACGCGCAATTTAAATTGCAATGCGTTTAAACGCATAATGACAGTCGTTACGAATGGCTAGATGGTCTAAAAAGTTTATAAAATTATTATAGGTACTAGGAATCAATAACAGGCACTTGGTTTTGGAATTAAAATAAACAAAGTGTATAACTTTATGCACTTGAGAGTTAAAAAAGCGGAACCACTAGCAATTCTATATTTTATCGAATCCTCTGTAACTTAAATAAGATTATTCCTTTTAGAAGAAAATACTCTCATTTTACAGGTAATAAAATTGCCTTTTTTAAACTTTCTTCTGACAGGAAATATTTATGAAGAAATGGAAAAGAAAATGCTAATGGCTTCGTTTCTTGGCTCCCGAGTGTAGATACATGCATACTGACCTTTTTTACTCCTACTATCAGCAGAATACAAGCGACGAGTCCTACGGTGCTGCAAACCAGCAGGGTTATGTTGAGCGACACCGTGACTATAAGAAAAAAACAACAAATCAGTTTCAGTAATCCAAACATTCAAAGAAAAATTATAACAAAAGTAATATTATCAATTTGTAACCGCAAATTTCAAATTTCGATTTTCAATTTCACATTTTCTTCTCGCTAAACCCTTTTTAATGTAAAAATATAAAAACGTACATATGTATTATATCAATCGTCGTCCTAATGTAACATAACATTAATATGTATTATATAAATTGTGGTATTCGAATTCAATTTTGTACGAAAACTCTCAGAAAGTGAAACACCTGTTAATCTAAAGGTAAATACAATTCGAGCTCATTAAAATTTACTCAAAACATTTTCACTACGAACTTCATAGTCTTCAAAGGGGTTTTTAATTTCTTCTTTTGGACGTGATTCTCGCATTTAACTTAATTTTGCTTTTACTGGATCTTAAAATAATTTTGTAGTCCAACGACGTAATTTTTAATTGTGTTACAATCATTGTTATCCTTCTGGCAGTCGGGAAAAAAAGTCTCGAAATAATTTAGTCTGTTGCTTGTTTTATGTCAGTAAAAAAGTGCTATGATTTTTGCTAATTATGGAAAAATAAGATGCCAATTCGTATGTATGTATGTATATGTATAATTAAAAAAATCTAAATACCAATATACATACACATGTTAATCAAAAGAAGCACCAATAATTATAAATTTTGAAACGAGCAAATTAAACACAGCAGCCACAATAAAATGTGCCTGAAGTTCATTTTGTCAGGCATAGGAATTTGTAGTAGCCGGAGTCACCATAAGCTTTCGATCACGATTGTTCATCAAGTTCATTTCTTCTCTTCTATCAACTTTACAATACAATCATTGTTAAATGCAAGTATTTTTGCTTCCCAAAACTCAAACCAAAAATATTCGCAAAGTCCAATCACAATTTTGAAAATGATTTCAACGAGAAAATGGATGTTCAAACTTTTCCTTTCTTTGGAGTTACCGTACTTGTAAAATATATCAAGTTAAACATTTATTGACTGTACTTGATATTTAAAGAGAATTTAATATGACGTAACTGTATTAATATTACAATACGCGAGCAAGGCGTACCTGGTTCATTGAAAAGGTTTTATTGAATGTGATTGAGTTACAAATTGGGAAATATTTTTTCAACGTAATCGAATGAGACGGCGTGTGTAAAATGTATAAGTACCACCTCTTATTCGGATAAAAAATATATCCCAAATTGGAACCATTCGAAGAGAAGCTCTCAAACGGTTTATTCTGAGCTGATACTTCAAAAGTACTCCCACGATAAAATAAGAAAACCAATGATAATTCGATTTACTACAAAAGATTTTCTCTACGCACATAAACCACGTGTGTACTGCAAGACATCTACTATTTATCTCGAAATTATTACATTTCTTTTTATAATATGATAATGGTGAAAGTGGTCTTTAAGGTCATATGTATCTAATAAAAACTTGAGTAGGTACTAGATTTCTGTTATACACTTTTATTCATAATTGAATATGATACAACTAGTTTGATTTTCAATGACTGAATAAGCTCAAGCTCTTTGAAAAACTAATGGTAGATTATTATAGAAAATAACTCGGTATTCAAACCCATTCACCCTTCAGCGATTCTCATAAATCACTCAAATATAGATTTTTATCTGAAGACGAATAGCCTCTGATTGCCTCGTAGTTAACTTACATTCAATCTTAGTAAATAAGAGAGAGAATATCGTTTCATGTTGGGATCAAAATATAATTGAAAATGATCTCGTGTACTTACAGAATGATGCAAACAGTTCTGAGATGGTCAGTATTATGCGATGCCGTGGCAAGCACGATTTTACCCGCCACAATGTTAGAACTACGTAAAACAGAATAAGATATTTACATTAAAGTAATTATTGTAATTACTGATTTAAAACTATCGGCTGCTCTTACACGAGGCGTGATAGTGGAAGCTGATTGTTCAACAAAAAGTGATTATTTAGTGAGTGTTTTTAAAAAAATATACTATTTTGTGCTAAGTTTTTACCTGTTTAATGTAAGGTCGTAGAAAAATATGGTTTGCTTTAGTGTTCATTAAATCATTAAAGTAACTGTGCTCGTTTTGGGTACTTCTTTTAGGTTACTTTTTATTGATCTTCTAACCTGCCAATACCAATATCAATACTTATAAAACAAAATATGTACGGAATATGATACCTAAATAAATTTTCAATTAACAAAATATAATAAGAAGTACGAATGTATAAAATCTGTATAATCTGTGTAATGTGCTGCATCGACAATAAATAAATGAATACTTCTTCTTCTTCTTTTTTTAATTTAAATTAAATTAATAATAGCCAAACACGATGTGTATTCAATCAATACATAAAGCAGAAAAATGCAACATGTGTTTTTGCAAAATGCTTAAAAAGCTGTGCATAGCAGTATCGATTTCACAAGTCGTTGCCGAAATCAAAAGGCAGTCTGTCAGTTTAGTTTGTTTACAGAGCTTTACTTTGTCATGGAGTGAATCGCGTACACTAATTGATAGGCATTATGAAATAAGAAATTTAAATTAATCAAAGTACTTTACAAAAATTTACGAATTAGTTCCATGCCGTTGTCACTTAAACATAACAATGTTATTCTTTTCACCACACTAGAGCAATCCAATTTTGTTTCATGTTAATTAGATACTAATTGTATGACAGCTAAGTTATTGCTTTATTACGGACCGGTTTTTCCAAGGAATAACTTTGAACTATAGAAAGAAAGTTATTAATTTCTTCCATACTAAAAACTGTCAAATTTCAGTCTTATTTTACAGTTAACAGTTAACAATATCGTGTGTCTCAGACGTGGTTCCACGGGAGACAATGTATTTTCTATTGTGTCTCATATTGGTGCATGCAAAAGGCTAATTGATAATTGAAAAATCGGTCCTATTTGACTCGTTTATTAACCGCGTACTCTAAAAGGTGTATGCCTTATTATTTCAACATATCTACTAACGTACTTAACCTTAAACTCAAAGCAATTTTCATAATCTACATACTTAAATATGTTTTTTCCAAGAAATTTTGATAACTAAGAGGAAGTGTCGTCCAATACGATTACTACGAGAACCACTGTTGCCAAACTCACACAAATGTAACGATAACCACACATTGCACTACATATTCATAAATAAATATTTTAATTTGTCGTTTAAATTAGAGTCAAAAGCAGCTTAAGTCGCATATCTTACATCCGGAAATAAACCTTAAACCAGTTTAGTAGGATTTATTTTGCATTAGTGCAGGGCGTAGTAGCTTTAATTGACAAGCAAATTCTGCTACCCGACTATAGATTATAGATGGCGGCGTTCTTAGCAATTATACAGTTTATTTCATTACAGTTATGGTTGACAAACGCGTCATAAGTCAGTAATTTTTATATTCGACCAGGTTCGGGACATTGTACGATTAATTACATTATCGATATCGACAGACACCCGACCTCCAGTATAATTATAAAAACATAAAACTTCTTATGAGTTTAGTTAAACTTTAATCAAATAATAATAATTAACATGCTTAAACTGTCAAATACCAAGCGGTCACCGGTGACCGCAACCTATTGTTCTATAATTGTGTCTGCAAAACCGGTACTCGACGAGTTAATGCTACATTCGTTTAAGAATATAAATAACACCCGGTAACTATAATTATCCTTTATTTGATATTAAACTGACTGCCTCGTTGGCCGAGTGGTCGCAAGTGCGACTGCCGGGCATGGGGTCTCGGGTTCGATTCCCGGGTCGAGCAAAGTATTACTGGGTTTTTAAAAAATCTCAGTAGTAGCACGGAGTCTGGAAATGTGCCCGGTATATGGCAATAGGCTCACCCCCTATTACATGGGACTCATAACATAAATAGTGAAAAGTGGGTGTTACATTGTGCCGAAATATGCACCTCTGCCTACCCCTTCGGGGATAAAAGGCGTGATGTTATGTTTATGTTTGTTTATGTAGATAAGATGTGTATGTACTAGAAGACCATTTTAAGAACAAAATTTTAATATCTATATTAAAATTTTGTTCTTAAAATGGTCTTCTAGTTTGCTAGCTAATTATAGATGACATCCAATTAATTCTATCCGTTGCATCAATAATTTTTTTAATGTTGCAATCCCTCCTTAGCACAATATTTATTTACAGGTACCTTTACCTGTAAATAAATATTATACAGGTACCTTTACCTGTAAATAAATATTGTGCGACTTAAAAATCTACTGATGTCTATTTTTACCGACTTAAAAAAAAGGAGGAGGTACTATGTTCGGACCGGTACCGATGGTATGAGATACTACCATTTTTAATATTGATTGTATTAGTTCTATTGTTGTACGACAAAATAGCAAAACACGGCATAGTTACGGAAAAAAATATTTTGGGACGCGTGGCTTTACTCGTTGACAGAATACGTTTATGAACGTCTTTGGAACGTCTGATGCGAAAGTATGACACATTATCGTAAAGATGACACGCAAGACTACACGCCACTTCCACTTAGTTTTTAAAATTCCGTGATTTGTCCAGTCTACTTTAATTTCAAAACAAAATACAGGATTTGCTCTTGCATGATGAGTTTTTTTACCTGCGAGTATCAAGTACTTCATCCAATTTCCTTTTGTCTCATTACTGCTTCTCTCCAACACGTTCTGATGGTGTTTCTTCGATCTCTTACGCCTTAAAGGCCTAGTTTCGACGCAAGGAGCTGCTTCGTTGTCTACATTACCAAACCCTTCGACAATGCCAGCATAGCTTACAGACCGTGCTTTAAGCTTCTTTGCAGTACGAGGCTTCAAATAAAATTTCTTCGTTGCGTCAAATGTACTCTTCGTTTCAACAGCATTAACAGGAGTTCTGAGGATAGGGCTATTGAATCCCACGCTGTGTACCATAAAATGTGTTGCGGATTTACGTGAAATATTTAAATCTACAGTAGTGTTATATTTGCAGTTGCTTTCTACCATAGTTCTTTTTTCCTCTTGCGCTTTTAAGAATGTTGGACAGGTTCTAGCTACGGCCATGTGATTTCCAGAGCAATTAACGCACTTGAAACTATTTGTAGTGCAGTGTTTATGATTTTCAGCGCACCTGTGGCATACTTTTTCTTCTGACGGACAATGTTGTGTTTCATGTACACCTAGTTTCAAGCATCGCGCACATCGGGTTACGGGAGATACATATGGCTCCACTTTTATTCGTAAACCATGAGTATATACATACGGTGGCAAATGTTTTCCTCTAAAACAGATTTTGATTACTTTACTGGCTTCCCAGCCAAGTCTGCCTACACACAGGCGATTAAGCCGTTTAACTTCTATAACTTCAGTGTCATCTGGACAGTGAATATCCTCAATTATTTCATCGGCATCTATTTCATAATCGACATCCCGTAAGATACCGTTTATAAAGTAGACATCCAAGTTCTTAATGAATTTCCACCCCATCGCAGCTAAATCTTGACTAGAACACATTTTGTCAGCATGCAATTCTGAAGTCAATATAAGACGGAGTTTGTATGGACTAAGGTATTTCACGTGTATAACATTGTCAATGTTACATTCTTTAAAAATATTGTTTAGTTCTAGCTGCTCTGGAAATTTACGTTTGCACAAAACTATAAGTTCAAAGTTTTTTACATCTTCTTCAATATTTTGCGTTATGTTATTTACCTGTTGCGACGTATTTTTATCGTGACGGAGGCCTTTATTACGATTTTGATTCTGTGCCCTTTTTACCTTCTTTTTATTAACTACTGTCGTCCACTCTGCATGAAATTCGTGTTGATCGGTTTCACATGGAGTACCGCTTACTGAACCCGAAGCAAAGTTTTCGTTTTGTAAAATATTTTCCATTTTTGTTTCTGTTGGAGGAAGTGTCCGTACATTCGCACTGATTTCCCGGAAAGCTTATTACCCGATAGTGCGCCGCATCTCGCTTCCGTAGCGACACTGAGTAACCCGGTATTGCAAAAAAATATTTAAAAATTGCAATCAATTGCCTCAACACAGGATCGCGTTCCTGTTCGGACGGAAGTTCGGAATAAACTGAGGGATGTGATGCAGTTCTGAATTACTCTTACGTCTATCATTGTGTGTGTGTGTGTGTGATATTTCCAACTAAGGACGATGCTGCACACGGGTACTAGGAATTATTTTCATTTGTGGTAGGTAACTATGTACTAGCAAAGTTGGTTTGAATTCGCACGGTTGCTTCAGTAAGCGACAGTTCACATACAAAAGCTTTGTTTTACAACAGCGTTTGTGTTATGTAGCGAAAAGCTACGCGTACCTTACTGCCCTGTATGAAATTGTCGTTCTTCTAAAATATTCTGCAAAGGCATTACGTGAATGCTTTTGCCTTTGTTATCAGCTGGCCTAAAAATGGTATAATCAAGGTTTAGAAACTTAGTTGACCAATATTGTGATCACGATGATCACAGTTCAGCCTTTACGACATTTAAGACCTTTTATATAAGTATACAAGTAAGCACATAATTGCTATTAATTAAGAAATAATTAATAGAATTAATATACACCAATAATACTTTAATGTCTGTCTACAGATACAAACATGGCTATAGAAGTGATTAATTAATGATAAGGTAACAATGACATGAATACACACAATAGAAACATTCCCGTATCTATTAATTAGCTTAGTTGTCAAACAAAAACTTTGTTTTGGGTTCGGTATAATTATGCAAATCATGGCTGTGATATATTTAGTAGATACTCACCTCAAAGCATTGGTAAAGCCGCCAGGTAAAGCTGTTTCTGCTAATTCTATTTATGTAGCAGGTTCATTTGTTTGGCATCTAAATGTGGGTATTCCAGGGTATCCCCGAAATAGAAATTTTAGATTTTTTATGGTATAAGTCGGTCAACGAGCAGACGAATCACTTGATGGTAAGCAATCGGCGTCGCTTATGGACACTTAGAACACCAGAGGCGTTGCAAGTGCGTCCTTTTGGGATTATGAATTTTAAAATTGTTGGGGATTCAGGGATTGGGGAAGGGTGGGAGGGTGTAATTGGGCCTCCGATAACCTCACTCACACGACGTGAACGTCGTGAACGTGGAACAATTCAAGCGTTGTTTCACGTCGGTTTTCTATGAGGCCGTGGTCCGGTCGAGCCGGCCCATTCGTGACGAAGCATGGCTCTGATATACTATGATGATAATATAGATATTCCCAGTAGTGCAATGTATATTTGTTACATTTATATTTGTTTATTACAGGTGTTCTTGTTAAAACCATCAACATAACTCTGTATCTTAGAGAAGTCTTTTTACAACGTCAAGATTTTACTAAAATGGTATATTGTCATTTAGTTAAAAAATGTCGAAGACGGAATTATTTGAAGGCTTTTGTTACAGCTCAAGGCCCGAAAATATTAAGGGTTGACATACGCTTAATGTGCTTATAGTTTTCAGGAACAATTGACACTGGATGTGTAAAATACGTAATTTGATGGTTACCTCCCCAATAAATTCATTGAAACTCTAAAAACTATAATTATGGATTTATAATATAATGACTTTAAATGTTTATCTCAATATGTAATAAACCGATAAATTAAATACTTCGAAAAGAAATTAAAAAAAAAAACAAATATCAGATGAAAAACGAAGATAGATAGGAATATTTCACATCTCTTTATACATTTACATCATTTTACATTTTAGATTGATATTGAAGAATCAGCTTTTTTATATAAACGTCTGACATTATCAAGCCATATTTTGTTACACAAATAAAATTCCCTTGTTTCATTTACCAATGAAACGGCAAGTCGTAGCTAGCGTTAATAAGTCTCGAATCACTTATTGTGAAAAATATTACGAATTGTCGTCTCCGACAATCTAATCTGATTTCCTTTGTCTCTTTTCTTTCTATTTTCTCCAAATACTTATCTAAAGGTTTGCACTGGTCTATCAGGGTTCCGTTGCACTAGAGTATTTTGTAAGTAACCAGTGCAGTGTCACCTATGTTTTGTGACGACAATTTCGGAAAAACAATTGTTAATCGCCTTACAGTTGCAATATGTAGCCACTACATGTATCCAGTTAATGAATTATTTTCACTGTCCCTACCAAAATATTAACAAACATTTGCGAGTGTTTTATTTGTTTGCATCCTCAGCGACGGCGACGTCCTAGAATTTGCGTTATTTTGCAATATACCGGGATGTCTGTCGTGCACCTACAATATCTGTGACATTAGTCGAGTTGAAAATGTACCAATGCATGAACCTCCTAGAATCACAAGTTCATAATGGAAATAGAACTTCAAGTGCAATACTGTATGGGACCTAGATACATAGTTTTCTATGAATTCAATTGTATTAACACATATACATTTTTCATTCTGATGCTAGATAGGTACTCGGAAATTAAACCGAATGCTTCTGAGTCTTATAATCACAATTACCGGAATCTACTGTAAAATTGTTATGCGAAATTTCAATTAATGTATAAAAGGTAAAGTTCCATTTTTGTGTAACAGAAATAAATCAATTGAACACCTATATTATTAACACGTTAAACGCCATGGGGGTCACCGGTGACCGGCGTTAGCGGAGGATTTACCTTCAACAGTTTTTTATTGGCAGTCAGTCTTTAATGGTCAAGCTAGTGTAAATTAGTGCATATACTGCAATATGTATTATGCTCTGTCTGAATAAATTAATAAGCCCCTAGAATTGTAACATTAAAATAATATTAAATATTTCGTACAATGCGAAGCAACACAAGTACCTACATTACATTATAAAGCGGGTAGCGCAGAACATGTGCATTGTTCACCGTAAGAGGCTTATAGAAGCCTCCGTAGTAATAACAAACGTAGTAATGAATACTAAAACTCTATTACGTGAATTAAAAGCTGTGGGTTCTTAGTTGTGAGTATCGACTTTATACAAGTCCGTCTGCTATCGGCTGGTGACAATTTAATCGGATAGTTGAACGTAATTGTTTACTCACTTGGTGTAATCTTCTCCGGTTCCAAGAAGCTTTCCGATGTAGGCTCGGTCGCGTCACCGGTTAGGTACCGTTGTTCCATATCGATGAAATGCCCCATTGTCACAATCGTGACCGAAAAGTACACCTGCCGCAAACAAATCTATTAGAGCAATAGTATCCATGAAATTATTATTTATTTTTTCAATAACATTATTTTAATACTCTAAAGGTGCTCCCTCACCGGGACCATTCGCGTGTAATGTAACGTTACAGATCTGAGCATTACATCAGTGAAGGAGGAGAACTGAGCTTTACAATGCGCGCCTTGTAATGATACAATGTGTAACATCTTGATACAACTTGTAACATCAATGTCTGACATCTTGCTATAAAATGCTCAAAGTCGAATCTATATGTTACATTACACGCAAATGCTTGTTAGTCAGGGAGGTATTATTGTAATGTAAAGCTCTAAGTCGAATTTATAATGTTACATTACACATAAATGCTCCTGATGAGGGAGCACCTTAAGGAAAACATTCCTGCTGCCTACATACTTATAATTATAAAAATACATAAAACAGAACATCAATGATATTGAATCTTGGACGAGATTCACATAAATGTCGATTTTGATATTACGTAAAATATTGAATGTTACTATTTGAAAACCTTGCAAATGACATTTTACGTAGTGAGGGAATCGAACCTTCGTAAATCGTTTAGCAGTGCTCCTGTCCTGTATGTGTGCGTGTATATAATATTCGAAGTTATGTCTATGTGAAAGTATGTTTAGTTACCATTGTATAAATAGCTGAGGCGTAGCAGCCTCGGCGAAGGCTGCGCCAACAGCAACAGGACTGTATAATCGGCATGATGCTCGGCTTATATGACCTGCGAAATAAACACTTTTTTTATACAAACATTAACATGGTTTCGGAACAATGGTTTTTAAACGTTTACCACTCGAAGGTTCATTATCCTGTGCCGTACAAACATGCAAATTCATATACACATCACATCCAGACAACAATCTGTGAATCATATAAAGAGTTGTTTCGTGCGGGAGTCGAACCAACGACACGTTTCGTTTCGCAGCAGTCTATTGCCTAGCAAAGTCGTCTCAAGTATTATGTACCTCAAACTGGTAATATTATGATATATAGATAAGAACATTGTTCTCGTAATTTATTTCCATTTAATAACTTTACATATAATATTATTCAATTATATTAATGGCAGGAATGATAAGAAGTAATTTTTCCAATTTACCAAATTCTTTTAACGCATATTAGTTACAAAATCTTAATAGCTAAATAATTATTAATGCCAGGCGTAGAAAGAACACACATTCATTGCTTTCGCATATTATTCTACCCTAGTAGAATCAAAACTGTGACTAAGTAACTTACTACCGACTTGTATAAACTTTAATTGAAAAATAAACAGATAGAATAGAGTTAGAATAGAATAGAATAGAATATAACTTTATTGTACACCATTAATAATACAGTACATACAGAAAAGGAAATGACAAATATAAATAAAAATAGTATAGGTAAATGAAATTTATGTTAAAAATTGCGATCCATATCTAACATAATTGTATCTTGTAGTATAATATTCGGTACATGTAATATAAAATAAGATTAAATAAATAACATGAAGTTTCTCATTCCGTCCAAAATGAAATCCGCTTATGTCACTGCTAGTACTAAATTAAATTACTATGTGTCGACGTCCCAGTTGCGAATTTAAACTTCAATCATTATTTTTCCTTTACCCACTTTTGTATGAAAAGATGCTATGAATTCATCAAATTCATGAAATAATTCTGTTACGCGAGCTCAGATAAAATCATTACACAATCGTTAAAGATAAATATTTTCATAGTTTTATTAATTTTCCTTCATAAATATAATATCAAACAAATCAGGTAACACACTCATGTTTAGTTATACTTTAAACCTTCATACTAAGAGTCACTAGAGACCTAGCCTATCGAGCTACTTGAACGCAAAACAATTGTTATTCAGTATCACATTCCTCTTTAACCCAAGTTATATTCGAGATTCTAAAAATAAACCTACTATTTCAGTTATTCAATTTAAGACCCGAAAAACATGAACTACACAACTACTTTTAGAAAAATCGTACATTCGTACGCTCAACTGATATTGAAAATCAAATATATTAAATAATATCATTTGTGTGCTGATTTGTGTCAAGGGTTTGGATTTTTCGTTTTCCAGTTAAATATAACTTATCAGGTGTGTAATTAATCTTATAAAATACTAACGACCCGCCCCGGCTTTGCAGGGATGCAATATGCATGTATTATACGTATAAACCTTCCCTAAAAATAACTCTTATCTATTAAAAAAACCGCATCAAAATTCGTTGCGCCGTTTTAAAGATCTAAGCATAGATAGGGACAGACAGACTGCGGATACCGACTTTGTTGCATGCTATGTAATGATATGGTCATCCCTCTTTTACACACCGGACACGTACTAAAAAATATATTTTTGACGACACGGCTGGTGCTGTGGCTGGACAACCGGCTGCCGCGCAACGTGTCGCGGATTCGATTCCCGCACGGAGCAACTCTTTGTGTGATCCACAAATTGTTGTTTTGGGTCTGGGTGTCACTTGTATGTTTGTAAACTCACACACGATACAGGGGAATATCCTAGCGAAAGGCAACGGCTTTAAAGAAAAAAAAAATAGAAGTAAGTGTAAACCTCAATTGTGCTGTCTACTGCAGCTGTACATACAAATTCCGCATACATAAATTTAATGTAACTGATTTTCTATTTACAAATTAGTTTAGCAAACAATCCAATATTCTTACTAAAAACCTGGAACCATTGATATAAAAAGCCCTTGGAGACTATTTGGACGGTTTCATACAACGACGTGAATTTATTGTTCGTCAAATCCCAAAAGACAAATATTTTACGGATAGATCGATACTACATATACTATCAAAAGATATAGGCGGTTATATTTTACGACAGGTATATTTGATTTAGTAATATTAAGCGAACAACCCTAACATAAAGCAATTTATCGTTATATTTTTATCTGGGCCTACAAACGTTGACACCTGCCCTCTGTACCATTTCTTTGATATAATACTTTAACGATCAATTTAGATTAATGTCAGAGTACATTCTGCGACAGTTACATTTCCCTACTTCTGACTCAAATGTCTGTCACAAAATGAGTAATAGGAGATTAATTTCCTTTGATTCCGATACTCAAGTAAGGACAAATCAAAACTCGGACAAGGAATGATTTTTTCAAGGTTAGCTTTATTTTAATTATCATATCTGTTGTTTTATTTTCTACATATTACGCGTAGCTGTGATTTGATTCAAATTGTAGATTCTACGATTTATATTGAATGAAAATAACAAGCACAAATCTAAAACAAAGGTAGAGAAATTCGCAATGCTACGAAATATCATAGAAGTAAATGACTCACGCTACGAAAATGCTACAAGCTGACGTACGGGCACTGACACCGTAGCGTTGCTGAAGGTTGCTACGAAGCCAACGACCGCTTAGGACCTCTCTAGATGAACTGATAGACGTACGAACATTATGTTAACATTAGTTGTCGTATTCCAATCTTCAATTAAACTATTACCTATTTACTATAAACTTTTCAACGGCTTATAAACATGTTTATTTTATTAAAACTATTTGAGATGCAGATATTTAGTTGTAAACTTGTACAGGTAAAAAGGCTTTAGTCAACAAAATATTGTCTGAGCTGTAAATTAAAGATCGTTATAAACGAATGATATATAAGTTAATTTTATTTGATTAGGTACAAAATTATCGCTCTTATTCATGCATTTATTTCAATCATAAATAATATAAATATTTCACGTCAAGGGGTCTAATATTATTGAAGTTGACTTACACGATTGTTAACTCCGTCGCATAAATATTTAAGGGTTAATTACAGAATAATGAACGAAACCATTTTTAAGTTTAAAAGTAATTAAACAGTTTTAGTACGATACCGATTGTGGTTAGGAAATTGTGAATAATTACCGTTAATGATAAGGGTGTTGTATTGTAGGTGTGGAACTTGTCCATTTGCTTGGAACTAGTCATTGGAAGTTTAAATTATAGGTTTATTGATGTTGATGACATACCCATTATAACAAACTATAGTATACCTCTTCGAAAAACATTACAATTATAATAACACTCATTCCCATTCAATTGTTTCATTTTGTTTTTCCTATTCCTATTTTAAAACATCTAATATTTTGAAGTCAAGTCACTGTTTTAATAAAACACGTTCCATTGGTTATCTCATAGACATGGAATAGAGATAAATGTCATCATTATTATATCTTGTCGGGTATAAAAATTAGGAGTCTATCTAGTCCGTCAGTTTGATAATGATAAAATATTAGACACGTACTTCTTTATTTTGTCGTATAAGAAAACAATATCCACTCACAAAGGAGTTGAAGTGGGAGGTAACGACGTCATTTCTAAGTATAAAACGTACATGGAAGTGTCGTCACGGAAAATTTCAAATCAATTTATCATCGAAAGTATTTGTTACAAAATTAAAAATACGTTAAATAGATATGTTGTTTTTTAAAACATGTTTGCAAAATTAAATAATTTACCAGACGGATATTGAAACAAAAATTTTTCATCTACCCTACTCTGAGCTCTGTGTTACGTTTAAAAACTAGTATGATTTACCTACTACCTAACTGATTTACACAAACATACTTAGTCGGTCATAATCCACATTGAAGTAAAACTAGTTCAATGGAGCGACCTATATGACCAATAGGCCGCATACTTTGTACAACATTGTAGTTGCGGAGAGGAAGTTGAAAGTTAGATCAAGGAAGCTGTACGCTTCATAGATATGCGAACAATTTCTTTAGGCCACGCACAACACTAGGAATTAAATGAGCGAACGTAATCACGTTCCCGACATTTATATTTCTATCAGTTCGTTAGATTCCTAAACATTACAATTTAAATTATTAAGGCCTATTTCACATGTCTAGATTGTCCTGTGCACCAGATAATTTGATTTTTAGAACGTAATTTATATGAACTATCTGCCATTAACTCGTCGAGTACCGGTTTTGTAGACACAATTATAGAACAATAGGTTGCGGTCACCGGTGACCGCTTGGTGTTTGACAGTTTAAGGTAAAAGTCTTAAGTTTGGCCAAAATATAATAGGTAAATTGCCTATTTATAAAGGTTTAAATCACCTGCTACTTTCAACTCTGCACTGCTTAAAGATTGACTGGGAGACAATGCCCAATGAAGGCGTTTTGTATCCATTCCAATATCAAAAATATACACCACGCCTATTTCACCTGTCTGCTTCATTTAAAATTGTCACCATCCGAGTAATACTAAATCACAATAATAAATATGTTTCTCACGAACATGTCGATGAGTAGGTAACGTTTCCCACACAGGCCGAAGACTTGACTATTTAATAAATTAATATAGGTACTTAATTATTTCACAAGGCTTTAATTCCAACAGCGATTTATTCACAGACAGGCAGGTCAGGAAGCCTGGGTTTTAGTTAGTCTCCGGCATCAAGTATTGTACAAAGTTAATCTTTTGAGCTATCTTTTGCATTGAAAATCAAAGACTGCCGTTCTGTATTTAATGTCCGCGCTTGCGATAATGCAGCTTAAGCTCAAAGCCTAGTCATTTCCGCGAGCTTGACGCGTTTACTCGGCCGAGCCATTTTCATGAACGATTTACCCGGGTAAGATCAAACCGTACAGTAAATAATACTGCGGTGACGGCCAGGCCAGTTAGGGTTGCATTATTTATTATACGAATAAGGATGGTGAAACTATTGCACTACGTAAAAA